GAGGAAGACTAAGGGAAATGTAAGTTCTTGCCTATACTTCATCCAACCTTTTTAGACTCAAGGCATCCCCCGTTAGACTCAAGGCACCATTTGGAAAATGCCAGCTCTTAGTTTTTTCTCATTTTTCAACTACAGAAAAATAATGAAGCAATTCTTGTTGTAAAAAATTCAGGAAGATGACAGTAAGTCAGAATCCCTATAAATTCCTATTTGAAATCTTTGGGTTTATCTTGTGAATCATGTTTGCGCACCTAACAGTGCTAACATTTTGAGGCACCTCATAGCACACTTCAAATGCTCTCAAGGCACCTCAGGGTGCCCCAGACAAGTGAGGGCATTGGCTGTTATGTGTTAAATTTTCTATTTACATCATTTTTCAAAAAAAGGTGATCAGATGTTGCAAAATTGATGGTAGGTGGCTTGGTAGGGTAAAGGTGATCAGATGTTGCAAAATTGATGGTAAATGGCTTGGTAGGGGAAGGAAAGGGCAAGTTAGAGATTACTTGGGTAAACTAGATATTTTCTAATCAACAGGGCATGGTGAGATTCACTGATTAGTTGAAGAATTAGCTGAAGTAATTCCAGTGCCAGTAGCTGTTAATTCTGGGAACTCATGATGGTTAGGTGAAGACCCAGAAGACTAGGGAAAAGCAATTATAGTGTCCATCTTTAATAAAGAGAAAAAGTTGTGTCCAGGGAAATTCAGATGTGTTGGTTTAATGTAACTGAAAATCATATATAAGCACCTAGAGGATAACAAGGTGATACATAGCAGTCAACATGGATTTGTCAAGAGCAAACTATGTCTAACCAACCTGATTTCCTTCTATGAGAAAGTGATGGGCTTTGTGGATGGTGGTAGAGCAGTGTATATGATATAACTTGACTCCAGCAAGGCTTTCAACATTATTTCCAAATAAGCTAAAGAATACAGTTGAGATCAGTGGGTTTCAACCTTTTTAGCTTTGCAGAACCCTTCCATAACTTGTTAGAATGTAGCAGCACCCCAATTGAGAACCAATAAGCTGGGATCCAGCTCAGTGGTTCCAAACCTTTTTAGACTCAAGGGCCCCTTTTTAGGCTTAAGGCACCCTTGGAAAATGTCATCTTTTTTTCACTTGTGTTTTCACTACAAAAAAAAAAAAATAGAGCAATTTTTCTGTTGCAAAGAAATCAAAAGACCACAACATATCAGAATGTTTTTAATGCTATGGATTCCTATTTGAAATCTCTCTAGGCTTATTTTGTGACCAAGAGTGCTTGTACACATGATAGTTGTCATGATGCACGTGTGACAAAAATGTCATTTATCTAGCTTAATGGTGTCACATTTTACACGTGTGTCAGTGTCAGGGGGGGTTAGATGAGTTTGCATTGTTGCAAACTAAATTTCATTGGATGTAGTTTAGTTTGTAACAATGCTTGCAGCTGTCAGCTTACCCCCCCAGCCATAGGAGATGTGGGCAGGCTCCACTGAAGAAAAAAGAAAAAGTATCAGGACCCTCACCGCTTCTCATTTTAGCAGGCACCTGCTAAAGGCAGAAATGGCAAAAAGCCTGATACTTTTTTTCCCCCATGGCCAGGAGGTGAGCTGCTGGAGGGCCTAGCAGCCCCTGAGCTGCAGGGGGCACTGGTCCTTCCCTCCATGGCAGCAGTGCCTCCTGGGGCCACCCGGATGGGCTGCTAGTAGGCAGTTGCTGCCTCAGCTCAGAGGCCGCACCAAGCCCAATGCAACTCTTCCCCAAGCCTGCCCAATGGAAGCCTACTGGGCGCTGCTCCCTGGGCAGGCTCAGGGAACAGTTGGATCAGACCAGGTGCTGCCTCTGAGCTGGGGCAGCACCTGGCCTTCTAGCAGACAACCCGAGCAACCCCCAGGGATGCAGATGCCATGGACAGAAGGACTGGGGCCACTCTGCCCACTCACAGCTCACCCTCTGGCCACAGCTATGCTCTGGCTCCAACAAAGAAACAAAAAAAAGGATTGGGCCCCTCTCTGTAACATGACAGAAAAATTGAAATAGTGCATTTCAATTAAAAACCCACCATTTGAATTTAGAGGGTATAGAATAAAACTATGAGGACTAAACCCCCATCACGTGTACAAGTGCCCTAGCTGCTAACATTTTAGAGCATACCATAGCACCATTGAAAGGATACCAAGGTACCCAGAGTGCCATGGCCAAGTGGGGGCAGGACTTCACTAGACTGTGCTCTGTTTTTTCCACCATCTGCCCCTTCCCCACCTGGGTCTGTACTTGAGGAGGTAAATGCAGCCCCTGACACCTTGATTGATTCCTCCAACAACTTGCACACCAGCAATTGGAGCCACATGTACCCTCGGACTCTCCCATCAGCTCTAGGAGCATGACAGGAAGGTGAGGAGAATGAATGGGACTGAAAGTATAGCCCCTGTGGCCCTATATCCACCTGCCCACCTGTACGCGACAGACCACATTGCTGGGAGCATGGTGGCTGATGTGGGATGGGGAGCAGTCACAGGTGCTCGTTGTTTGCAGGATGTTGGTGCACCTAGTTACAGAGGCCTTGTTGGAAAAAACAAGCCAATAGGACACTGGGTTATATTAGAAGGAGTTCTGGTCAATTCACAGGAAGTATATTTTTTCTTCCATTCTATTCAGTACTGCTAAGGCCTGAGATTCCATTTTTGGACAATAACCCCTTGGCTGGGGGGTTATAGATGTTTGACTCAGTCCTGTTTAGGTTCACTTGAAACATGTAATTTTCCTATTATAAAATATCTTTTTTACTGAGATATTCCACACAACCATGATTGGGCCTCAAGGGCAAACTTAATCTAGATAAAACAAATGATTTGTTACCGTTCTAGTTATTTTACAGTAAGAAACATGAGACTGTTGTGGCAAGGCCAGGTGCAGATTCCCTAAATAACTGTGTCACCACTGTTTCCTTGATCACCCTAACTATATTGGCACTTTTCTAACAAAAGTAATGTCTTCACAATGAAGAAAAATCAGCCATGGGAAAAGCAAATGATTGTAGCTGCCAGAGATAGACAAAGTAGAGTTCATAGTCCGTGCCTTCTTCACAGTCCATGCCTCCTGCCTGTGAAGAAAATATCAAAGTAGAGCCCGCAGCCACTTAAAATAAAAATCAGCCCAGGGCTAAATTTGTCTCACTAATGGGCAGATTTAGTCAGATAAGTCTCAGGGCCATGTATCGTCAAAGAAGAGTTGTGCTTTTGTCTTGAAAAGTTGTCAAGCAGGCAAGAGTACTTAAACATCAACAAGTACTTGAGACCTTTTCATATGGTACAAAAGAAATGTTAAATGATATAGTGGTTTACCAATGAAATCTTTAACTGTTTGAAAAACAAAAAAATCCAAGCTTTGAGGCCATTCTGTTTTGTTTTAATATTTTAATATTTCAGTGATTGTATTATATGAGTGTCTATTATATGATTGTATAAACAAAGAAAGAGTGAATTTTATTTTCTATGGCAAGCCCTATTATAACATTTAAACATTCAGTCTGGGAGGCTGGGTGGGAGAGGGAAGGGGAATGATGTCTGAATGAGAAAAAACATTGAAGACCGGCCCTTTTTAAATTCTCAGCACACATTAGGAACCATTATCTTTGCTCATTGTAGACTTTATAAAAATTGAATTCTGAAAAGAATTCTTTCCATTGAAGAAGGAAGAGAAGTTTAAACTTTCAGCAGTGATGTTTACTTTAACCTCATTTGTCCCATGTATGTGCTTATTAAGTAAAACCCTGTTCTCATGTATTGCAAAAGTATACAAAATGCCTTTCTGTTTGGAAATCAGTGTGATCTGTTACTTGTACTAGCTGATGGATTTAAACAAGCTAAGCCCATGGCTCCTAACCTTCCAGCCCTGTGCGCTGGACAAGTGGCTTGGGGTCAGTCCATAGCCTGATCCCTTGTGGGGTTGTTGCATGGGGTTGGTCCCTGACTGCAGCCCTGCATGCCTGGATCTGGCCACGTGCCTGCCTGATCCTGCAAACCCAGATCCAGCTGCACATTGGTGCAATCTGGTGTGTAGGACCATGTTAACTGGCCTGCTGGGCTCCCTATCCATCCAGAAGTTTGCCAGCAGCGGGGCAGCAATTAACACTGCCTCTGCTCCCCCCAGCACCAAATTTCTGAATCCTTTGGCAGCACTGCAGGCTAGATGACACTGCCCTGCCAGCCAAATCTGGCCTATAGGTCAGGGATTGAGCACCCTTGACCTAAAACTTTTTGCAGAGCCTTTGGAACGTCAGCTTTCAGTGATAATGATCTGATAGACATGTGGGTAATTGGCACATGGGTCCAAATATGTTCTGCAGGACAAAAAAGATAGTTGCTGGACAATCAGCTGAATAAGCTCTATTATAATCAGTTTCATTGTTTGAGGAATAGATTTTTTTCCCCTGTGCTGGAGAAATGAGGTACACAGCAAGAATATTCTGCACAATTTGCATTTCTCTCTGCTTTTCTGAAGCATGAAGGCCTAAGTCTTTAACCAACACACAGTAATACAGTCAGATGGAGAAGTACTAAGAAATCCTGTATCCCAGTTGAAACTGCAGGATGAAATATGATTGGGATATAACTGGAATTTAACCATGGCAATGTGCCTGTGAACCCTACCCTTCCAAAAACATGCCATAGTTGCATAAAACAAATGTCCATTTCCTGTTCTGTCCTCAGGTGAGTACCTTCAACAGCAGTGACACTTAGCAGTACATCAGGATATTGCTGGAATCCTGACTTGGAGAAAAGGATCTACCTACTGACAAAAGGTATTTGCATCAAACAGAGTACTGAAGGTAATCTCAGTAGGTTTCTATTTTTACTCAGCCTAGATATCTGGTCATCTGTAAGAGGGTTACAATAGTTTAGTGTTTGAATACGCTGTTTGAATTTCAGTTGGGCGAAAGCCACTGAAGTTAAGGAGCACGCGTGAGTGGATAAATATACAACAGCCGAGGAAGGAGGAAGAAAAGGAACTGGCACTATGAGTGCCACTGGAGCCACTGGATCTGCTGATGATATCACTGCCCTGGAGATCCACCAGTGGTACAAAAGATTTATGAGGGAGTGCCCATCTGGAATGCTTAGTCTCCATGAGTTTAAGGCACTCCTTGGTCTCCAAGGTATGGATCAAGAGGCAAACACATATGTTGAGCAAGTATTTAATACTTTTGACATGAATAAGGTAAGAATTATTTTTGACCATGTTGTTTTTTACTTTAAAAACATGTGTTTCTGTTCCTTAAAAATTAGCTATATCTAATGATTCAGTCCAAATCTAGGTTTCTCAAGACATATAGTCATACTTTTACTGGATAGTTCCAATGATTAACAGGATCCTTGTAATAATATGCAATGGGTGTGGGTGGCTGACTAGTGATGAATAGTCTACTTTTGTAGACTATGCTTTGTAGCTTTGGAAAGGGGGAAAGGGGGGTTTCATAGTGCTGTTTGTATAAGCTTGTAAGAACATGGACCTTTTTGGACTGTTCTCACAGCACTTTGGAAACTGGAGACTTGTGAAAGAAAGCATTCTTTAGAATCTGCCAAAAAAACAAAACAAAGGTTAGCACCTTGAAATTAGGGCTGGACTGGACCCTTTAAAATAGCCCCCTCCATTCCTGTCAGTGCAGGGAGATTGCTTTTAGTAGTTACTGCCATTCTTAATTTAGTTTTTCATTGATTGAAGCAGCTGGATCATCCCTCACTTTTAAAGGCAGAACATCTGCTGACTGTTAGAATATATTTTTAGGACAGTTGTCATAATCAGCAGTCCAAACGCTTTGCAGCTAAATATCACACTGCTACCCTTACCTGGTTCTTAAGGGTGGTGAAATACTAAGACAACTATTTTGCTAGTAATGATGATTTCACTGATGATTACAATAATGAGAATAAAAAATAATGAGATCAAATAATGAGATCAAAAGAGGGCCTGAAGCATAGAGGGAAAGGGAGGGAAATAACAATAGCTATGAAGAAAGAAACAAGACTGATACTGGGTGTAGAGAGAGGGAAGAATGAATAAGATGCTGACACTTGGGGAAGAAAAAGGGATTAAAAAAATTGGATATTGATGATGGAAATAAAAAAAATGTAGAAAGAAGGAAAAAAGAAAAATACTGTTTGATCATTTTGTTGCATTTCCTAGCAATGAAATTCATGCTGAAAAGAGGGATACTTGATAATAGAACTCTGTCTTGAAAATGAATCTTTCACCTGTGACAGCTAACAACTGAGCACAAATGCCATCAAGCCAGGTGGGATATTTTGCCTGTGCAAAGAATGCAAGACCAAGCCCTGAGTGAGGACAATGGAATACTTGTGGCATTGCCATACAGCTCACCGTTGTTCTCAAGCAAAGACCATGCACTTACAACAGCAAGACTGTACAGTTTCCTTTGTGCCACAGTGCCATACTTGATCCATTTTAGCATTCTCATTGAAAAGGTCTTAGTGTCTACGGCTCTAATTGGAGTCAGTGGGAGGTGCAGGTGTCTAGTGGGTCTCAAACTTAACTCCAAAGCCTTAAAGTTTCCCAGAAGAGAACATCCCAGTCAGATCAACCCATTGCTAGTAGGAAGGACAGGCTCTACTTTTTAGCAAGATATTCCCATTTTAATTCACTCTCACTAGGAGAGAAAAAGCGATATTAAATACCAAACTGCAAAGGGATGGCTTTCCAAAATCAGCATGTATCCATGTGAATTATAAGGAAAAGGCAAAGTCCTGGAGCTGATTGGAAATCTGTCACCAAAAACTTCTGAACTGGAAAATTCCAGCTTGATGAAACTGAAATTGCTCATGAAAAATGATCAATTTTAATTAATTGTTGTTTTGGAAGAAAAAGAGAAACTGTTGAAATGATTTGTTTCAAAGCTTTAAAAAAAATGGTATCATTCTATTTTTTGGTTTAAAATTACTTTCAATTTAGAAGTTTGAGCCAACTGTAAGTTAAAAAAAAAACAAACTAAAAACAGCCGAAGTCCAAATTTTTCTAAATCATCCCAATGAAATATTTTGATTGACCCAAACTGTCTCTTTTTTCAGTTTGTCAGGTTGCAGGAACTGGGGTTTTAACTTTTGGTTCCAACCTGAGTCAGGCAACAATTTTGACTTCTCAGAAATATTGAAGTCTTATAACAATGTAAACAATTTCTGCCTTTTTATCTACCTGTTTCTAAGTCAGTTCTTTAAGTTCTCTGTGTATGCATGTACTTGACTGAGATAAGACTGCACAGTGAGAGATTTCAGAACTGCTCTCTACCAAGAAGTTCTCACTAAGATCTGTGCTGAGCTGAGCATATCAAAACTTGAGACTCTCATAAACTAAATTTCCAAGAACACCAAGTACCCATGCCCTCAAATGAAATCAATGAAGTGCTTATCGGGCCTGAACAATAGTGTCCTCTATCAGTACAGGGTGTATTCAGGCAGAGCTGATGGTTCCATTTATTTGCAGAATCCCATATGGAATGAGACATTCCAAGTGCCTTCCATCTGCTAAACTAGCCATGACTAGGCATGGGCAAGCCAGGCACCAGTCCCAGGCACCAACTCAGAGGGTGTGCCAGTATGCCCCTCTACACCCAGGAGTCTTTGCCAGGCAGGCTCAGCCCAGACATGCTCAATAGTGTCATGGGGTGGGGGATGGAATGACATCCTCCAGAAGGCTCATGGCACAACCCTGAACCTGGGGGGAGGGTGCAAAGCAAACATGGTACCAAGAGCAGCCTGTGGAGAGCCTGTGTTGCTACCTGTCCCCCAGTGGCAACAGTCAAGCATGTGCTGCTACAGCCACAGCTGCCACCTGAGTGAGGAGAGCTGGACAAGTAAAATTTCTCTCCTCCTTCCCCTCCTTACTGTTGCCCACCACTTCTACCTCTGCCCTGAGTGCTGAAAGATCTCACTACTTCTCTCTTTTTCAACTTCTGCGATGAACACCAGGGATCCTGGTTTTCTCTAATAAAAATTGCAAATTCTCTGATTAAAATGCCAAAATCTGTGATTAAAATAAAAGGCCACTATATTTATAGATGTCAGTTGAACACAATGTTTTACTGATATCTTTACAGTTTTAAAGCAGTTTGGAAGCCTACCAGTGCCTCGATCACTATAATAAAATACATTCTAAATACCTATATATTTTGGCATTTGATTTCAGGTTTTTCAGCATGGAAAATCAGAACTCCTGTTGAGACCACTCTGTAGAATGATGTGTAGAAATTGTGTAGAAACATTCAAAATTACGTGCAGAAAAACTCAAAATTATGAGAAATTAATTACTTCTTGTTTTTTTTTACAAATTAAACTAAAAATAACACTATTTGAACCTTCTTTAGGAATATATTCAGGTACTTCGTATGGTTGGTGGGGTGGGGGTGGAGGGGTGTGTGTAGTGGGGATTTGTGAAGGTATGGAGGGATGTGGGGGGGTTTCTGGGTGTGTGGGGGGATTCGTAGGTGGGTGTGGGGTTTATGGGGATGTGGGTATGGGAGTATGTAGAGTCTGTGGGTAAGTGTGGGTTTTGTTGGGGGCTTGTGAAGGATTTTGGGGGGCTATGGGAGTATGTAGGGTGGGCAGGTGTGGGGTTTATGGGGGGGTTGTGAAATGGGGTAAGGGGTGTGTGGGGGGGGGTTGTGGGCAGGTATGGGATTTGTGGTGCAGAGCCCCTACTGCCAGTGGCTCAGCAGCAGTAGGCAGTGGGCCTTCAGGGTGCCACAGCAGGCAGAGTCCCCAGTGGCATGCACCTCTAGTTGAGTCCCAGGGCCTGCACATGCTGGTGTTACTTTGAATTACCAATTTATCAAATCAAGAGCAAGACCTTATAAAGGGGGATAAGACAAAATGCCATGTTTATTGATTACATGAATTAGACATAGAGGTTCAGACCCACCACTCATACAGACGCACACAAATCATCCTACACATCATTACACTCAGACATACACAAACATGGAGGCCCCTGCAAGCCCAACTTACCTTAAAGGCTCCAGGAGGGAAAGGGAGCCTGAGCCAAGCCCTGGCTGACTAAGGCTAGGGACAGACATTATATACAAACTGGTTTAAGTGATCAGAAACTGGTTTAAACTTGTAACAGAACAGACATTCGGTGCAATAAACCAGTTTGAAAATGGCCGAAACCAGTTTGAGATATACATGGTTGAATGTAGAATCAGACTTAACTGATTTGGCTCAAACCAGTTTATGCAATGTCTGTCCCAGACCCCTTGCTAGCTTAAATTGAATCAGACTCCCCCAGCATCCCGCATGCTCTCTGGGCTGGACAGAGCTCTGCTCCAGTGAGCTGGGCTGGCCCCTCCCCTCTGCTCTCTAGCTAGAGCAAGGGTATGGTGTAACCAGATGCTTACCTGCCATGGCCCTGGAAGCAAATTCCTCCCTCCATCTCCTCTCTTCCCCACCACGCCACTGGCAAACCCTGGGGACCGTAGCTGCTATTTGCCAGCCCCTGCTACACCTCCATGGCTTGCCTGCAGCCAGGCAAGGATAGAGTTAATTTCTCTCTCTGTCCCCTCTCTCCCTTGGAATCTCTGCAGCTTGGGAAGGGATTCATTCCACAGCGTGTCCTGGAGGGGAGGGGGGGGGAAGTGGGGGAGAGAGGCAAGCTAGTGCCCTGTGTGCAGATCCAAGCCCTGTACCTGTGATCCCAGAGATAAGACCTACAGGACCAGACTGAGAGGTGGAAAGTGTTGCCAAAGACCTGACAGTCATCACACATGCTGGAGATGTAGTTAAGGCAAGTTGCAGACAGCTTCACCAAAGAATGAGGAGAGCTAAATACCTAAACAAAGCCTTCATAATGCCTGGCTGTAAGGAGACATTCTACCCTCAGTATTAGTAAAAACTAATTCTTGTCTTCTTGGTTTACATTTTAAGTTAGACTAAGTTGTGTATGATGTGTTTTCAGCCCTGGCTGGTGCCTGACCATGCCCCCTCTGTTCCAGCAGGGAAGGATGAGAGCCTTGGAGTGCATCTCTCTTCCCTCCCCTTTGGCAGTGGCTGGCAGGCATGCCCCAGCTTCTGGCTTGAGCCACTGCAGGCATGTGACCGCCTTTCCTGATTTAACAGAGAATGTCTGTCCAGTTATTCATCAATTTAAACTGTGCAGCTTAGACTAACCTGCAAAGAGTGAATCAATTCAGGCTTGGGCTTTTTGTGATAGAC